ATTGTGCTTAACTATACATGTTCATATCCTTGAAGATGTATCATGGAGGTGGAAAACACCAAATTTTAAGCCCACTTTTTTATGTATTGTTGTTGTGTGCCATTGGGTTTTCAAAGGCAGTTTTAATTGCACGTGAGGAGACTACAAATCTTTCTCCGGTAGAGCAGCTAGTGTATTCGAACTGTGTGCCTTTGGAATGGTAGCACAGATCCTTACCAGTAGGCCACAGACATGATAAATTGCATAGCTGAAAGACAATATATTGCTCTGCATTTTTATGCTTTAAGAAAAAAATAAAGCTTAACACTTCACGTCTCATTTTTATGCCATTTCCTGTGAAAACATACTATAAGTTTCCAGTAAATTTTTTCAATGAGCATTCTAAAGAGATTTAATTATTATTTTAAGGAATATCCTAAATGTACCTGAGCTACATTTTACAGCTTCTTCTATCACTTTTATAAATAGGTACGATATGGTCACTGAAAACTGCAGATATATGACTGTGTGCCAAGAAAATAACCGCACTTATTCCCTCTGGCACTTCGAAACTGCAATAGAGCCCTCCTGTGGCTAACTTAATTTAGCAAAGTTTCCCTGATCTAAGCAGAAAAGGATAATAATAATAATAATAATAATAATAATAATAATGAAGCAGATTTATTGTGACTGTTCTCATGACAATGTGCTTTGAGTCTAAGAGTTCAGGGGAATTACTGATAATAAACAGCCATATGACAAATATGTATGTCTTTAAGAAAGAAGACATAAAGGTCAATGAAAGAAACAAACTATTTATTTTGTAGACAGCATCTGAAGTTATTTTCATCAATTCCATGGTGGTTGTTCAGTGCCAACGAGTCCAGTACAATTCATAGTGACCCCATGAAGAGCTGATCTGTACCATGCCCTGTCCTGTGCCATCCTGATCATCTCTGACACACTGGTGTCAGATGGTGGCAGTCACCAGAGGGAAAGGCCTGGGACTTGGAGATCTCTATGTGAGTTGTGATTGAGGTACTGTCAATCAGTTCTGACTCCTGGTGACTTTATGACGTGCAGAGTAGAACTGTGCTCCATATGAATTTTCAGTGGCTGATTTTTCAGAAGTAAATCACCAGGGCTTTTTTGTTTGTTTTCTGAGACATTTCTGCATAAACTCAAAAGTCCACCCTGCATAACAAAAGTTTACAGAATACTGCTGGGTCTCCACTAGAAAAAAAACTGATAACCCAATTACAAAATGGGCAAAAAACATGTAAAGAATTTTCACAGAGATATTTGGATGGCCAGCAGACACATGAAGAAATGCTCAAAATCACAGGCAATAAGAGATGTAAATAAAAACCACAATGAGGTGCCTACCATCTCATTCTAGTTGCAGTGGCAAAGTTGAAGAGGATAGCAAGTAATAAATATTGGAGAGGGTGTAGAGAGACAGGAACTTTTTTTAAATTTTATTTTATTAATTTTAATGAACATTTCCAGATATTTTGGATTTTCATTCATTCATTGCTGCACTTTTTTCTTTACTCCCTTCCCCCCAGCTCGCTCCTCTCTTTGAAAAGCAAAAGATAAACTTCTTTGTTGGTATACAATGAGATAGGAACTTTTATACATTGTTGATGGGATTGTAAAATGGTACAACCATTCTGGAAGGCAGTTTGATACTTCCTCAAAAAGATGAACATTTCGTATGACCCATATTCCACTGCTTGGAATATACCCCAAGAAAATGAGAACTGAAGAACAAATGGAGACTTGTACACCAATGTTCATAGCAGCATTGTTTACCATCACAAAAACATGAAAACAGCCAAGATGCCCAACCACAAATGAATGGGGTGAGAAATTATGGTACATTCACACAATGAAATATTACATAGCACACAAGAGCAATGATTTTGTAAATTACTACCTTGGCATGTACTGGAGAACATTATGCTCAGTGAACTAAATCAGTCCCATAAAAACAAATATTGTATAAAACCATTATTGTAGAATGAGTATAAGGATCCAATGAGGATGGAAGTAGAGTTGTGAAGATGGGCTAAATGGGGGAGGGTGGCTAGTCATAGGGTCATACAATTTGATGAGTGAAGAGG